CTTTGGGGAAGTCTAGTGGAGGCAGAAAAAACAGAAAGATAAAAGAGAACTATGAGAGGTGAGAAGTCCACAAGCCAGGCCAAGACCAGTAATAAGAAAGGAATTTTCAGTGGTGGGGACTTGGAGGCCAGCTTATTTAGAGTCTTGATGCTAAACCGGGAAGGGGATAGGTTTTACTCAGTATAGAAGAGAAAGCACAAAATCTAACATATACGTTGAGACAGTCATAAAATTAACAGAGAAAGGCAAGTTAAAACAATAATGATATATCACTTTTTACTAAATAGTCCAGCAAATATTAGAAAGTTGAATAATGCCAAGGGATAGCCAAGATGGAGGACTTAGATGCTTGGCATCTTGCTTGTGGAATGTGTGTGGGGACAAGTGCATGGAGTACTGCAAATGTGGCAAACCACTCTCCCGTGCTAGGCGTGTGAGTGCAGACCCCTTACCCCACAGGTGTAGTCCCTGCACTTGCTCCAAGGCCCACTCCTCGATTAGTCACTGCAGGGACAGTTGGCCAGGACTTGTATTGGTGGCTGCCTGAGTAGATAAACAAGGTAACTGCAAAATAAAATCAAACCTGCTTCCTGCTTGGACTCCAGAGGTCTTGATTAGCAACTCCACAGCCACACTCTCCTACCCTGTTCCGTGGACCTCCTCACTGGACGAGAGAGCCCACACAAATGTGGACTAGGGAAGTCATTCTGAAAGGCACCCTGGTACATCTTAAGCCTGGTAAATTTACATTGGAACCAGAAAATCAGCTACTGGGTATTTATCCAAAATAAATTCTCACACAGATTTATCAGAAAACATGAGAACAAGGGACCAGCCACAAAAAGGAAAGGAAAACCTGATTTATTGCATGTTGAAGTTTGCCTTAACCTGGATGGGGCAAAGGGCAGAAAGGAATTGTTGGGGCAAAAAGTAGTCAAAGATGACTCCACACTCCCCTGTCTGAGTGCCTGGGAAGAAGCCTGAGAAGGACGGGCAGTCTGGAAGGAGGAGTTGCTAAAGAGTTCAACTCGGGACCCAAGGGGTAGAACCATCAACTAGTAACTGCATAAGAGATAGTCCAAGGACAGGCCTCTGGGGAACAACTTGCACCACTTAGGGATCTGATGGTGACAGGAAGGTAGAGAAGAGTTTTATCCTGAACCAGAGGAAAATTGGACCAGATGATTTCTTACATCCTTTTTATCATTAATATTTTATAGTTCTGTTAAATCCATATCACAAGTTTATTAATAGATTCTCATATCTTTGATTTGTAAACTTTAGACAAATATTTTAGTAAAAGTCAGATCATCAGGGTATGTATATCAGAGAATGCTAAGTTATTTAACCCATATCAACATTAGTTTCTTCCTTTTTAAGATGGGGGTGATATATACCTTGTGGTGTTTTGAGGATCTGAATCAAGTCTGTTGGGGAATTCTATTGGATTCTTCATAACAACTCTATGCATATTTATTCTAATCCTAAAAGTCTAATGCTGCCACCCTGTTCATACTCTTTCTTCACCCAATTGTCCCCTTTGTTCTCTAAATTCTTAAGCTCTAGTGACTCTCTCCCTCTCCCAGTGATTATGCAGCATGTAAGAATTAGACTGGGTGAAATAGGCAATAAATACATGCCCTTTGGTTTCTATGTCACTTCATGCCTCACCTCAATTTTTTTCACACAGATCTTTTCATTTGATCCTTAAATATTCCTATGAGAAAGGCAGGATTTCTCAGTAACATTACAGATAAGAAAATTCACCTTTGGCAAAACAGATTTGTCATGATTTACATAATCCAGACAACAATCTGATTTTTTGGGAGGGTGGATTATATTCAGGTTAATTATAAGAAAGTCAACAATTTAGAATGTTCAATGGAGCTAGCAAAAACCACACCCATTAATCATTCATATATATATATATATATATATATATCTGCATAAATGCCAGTTTAGTTTTCTTCTTTTTTTTTGGTTCAAGTAGAGTAATAAATACACTAGCTAGAATGTAGAGAGTGAGAAGTTTCAAGGGAATAAACTAAAAACATAGTGAAAGATGACTCGGAGTTTCTATCTAGTCTGGGTGTCTGGGAGGATACTGCTGCTAGTCAGAGGAGAGAATCCAGAAAGGGAAAGTAAGACTTCAAACTGGAATAGTAAAATTTGATTAATAAGTGGAACATTCAAGTGCCACTATGACCACTGTAAGGAGTTGTAGCTCAGTGGTAGAGCACTGCCTTGCAAGTGTAAGGCACTAGTTCAATCCTAGCACCACATAAAAACAAAGGCATTGAGTCAATCTACAACTAAAAAAATAAAAGAAAGTAGTCCCACAGAAAGAACTCTATAATCATTTGTATGTGTATATTTTGGTGGAAATTCTGAATCCCCCCAGGAAGGGAAAGAGCAGGCACATGCTGGCTCACAGAGAGCATTCGGGTGGAAATTATTTTGTTAGCAAACCAAATACATTATAAATAGATTTGTTTCTGTTACAGATGATTAAAACATAGCACTATATTCCTGGCTGTTACAGATGGTTAAGATAAGAAAAAGGCATTTATTAAAGTAAAAAGATGCATAATTGCATGTTCTGTAATTTGGCAATATTCAGGGGCTTGACACAGCTAAAAGGATTCAGTCATGGCCATGTATCAGTTGTCATAAGTGGAACTGATAAGGTAAAGGTGTATAAAAAGATGTATAGCGGCTGAGGCATAGTGGTACATGCCCCTAATCCAAGCGATTTGGGGGGTTGAGGAAGGAGGAGTTATCAGCAACTCAATGAGATCCTGTCTCAAAATACCACAGAAAAAGGACTGGGAATGTAGCTCAGCATTAAAGTGCCTTTTAAAAAAACTGGATCTTAGAGAAGAAAAAAAAATCTATTGATTATAAAATTCCAATTCCATATAATTGAAAGTATAAATCAGTAATAGTAAAACAAGCTCACTATTTTTTCATTCATACATCTTTTTATGTTTTCTCCGAGTGTTTTGGCAAATAAGACTATTTTACTTTAGCTCTCCTATAACGTTTTTTACTACATAAAATTTGTTAGGATCATCCACTTGCTTTTTCATCAAAGAAAGCAAAATTTGGGCTGGGGATGTGGCTCAAGCGGTAGCGCGCTCGCCTGGTGTGCGTGCGGCCCGGGTTCCATCCTCAGCACCACATACAAAGATGTTGTGTCCGCCAAAAACTAAAAAATAAATATTAAAATTCTTTCTTCTCTCTCTCTCTTTAAAAAAAAAAAAAGAAAGAAAGCAAAATTTAACATTAAACAAATTGGGACGACATTCAGACTCATGTTTTAAAGAAAAACTGCTAATGTATATCAAAATCACCTGGAGTGCATAGCTTATTAAAACACAAATTACTCTGCACCAGGGTTTTTCATTCAATAGGTGTGGGGTTGGGGCCAAGGATCTTCTATTTCTAAAGGTTCCCAGTTCTTCTGTGTTGGTAAATTAGAGACTACACTTTTTGAACCACTGACTTAAACAATAAACATGATTCTGCTCCCCTCCCCTTTTTTATTCTTTGATTTCTCTTCATAATGCTATTTACTATTTTAGAGCATCTTAGTGAGGATTTTATGTATTCATCTGCATTGCCTTTAAAGTAAAAAAAAAAAAATCACAGTGATGTTTGAAACCGAAATTCTATCAGTTAGTTATTGGTGGTGAGATTTTTTTTTTTTTTTTTTTTTTTTATTGAACTCAAGGGCACTCAACCACTGAGCCCCAGCCCCAGCCCTATTTTGTATTGTATTTAGACACAGAGTCACTGAGTTGCTTAGTGCCTCAATTTTGCTGAGGCTGGCTTTGAACTCGAAATCCTCCTGCTTCAGTCTCTCCAGCCGCTGGGATTACAGGCATGCACCACTATGTCTGTTGGTGAGATTCTAAAAGGAAAAGCAAGAACYCTTGATCATAGAAGCCTTTTATTTCTTAGCTGGAAAATGTTATTTTTGCCACTCCCTCCCCACCCATTTACTGTCTTCTCCAGTAGAATGCCAGGCATTCTGCTTTTTTCAAAGATTGAACACCCCCCAACCCAACCACCATCATGTCCAAGCTTTCCCCAATTTGCCTGCACCAAGTGACTTCTAGAGCATTAGGATTTCTATAGTTATTATTGTCTATATTTCTCATCATAGTGAATATATGCTTCTTGTACTACTAGACTTCTTATGTTATATAAGTATGTCTATACTTATGTATTGTGTATTTCTTTTTTCCCCTGTGCTGTTTAAGTTCCTGAAGGGCAAATCTTGTATCCCTTACTTTGCTAATATCTCCATTGTGAAGCACCATGTATTAAACGTAGTTCACCCTCAAGTGTTTGTTGCTAAGAGCAGCTAATAAAGTGATTATCTTTTGGGTTTTTACCGAATTACATACGTAGGCTAATTTTTGCTGTAAAATCATAAGCCCATAAATGCAAACACACACACACAACCCAGAACTTTACATGCAAATGTTAATAGCTGCAATGTTCAACACAAATCAGGACAGTTTAGGACAAACGAAGTATAGAGAATGGCTTACTGTACTTTGCTCCACAGACACAATCATTTTTTGGTTTGGCTTTGTCAAAATCAAACTGCACCTTCTATATTGATGGTGAGCATGTTCCTGCAGACGCCCCATTCTAAGCTAAACAGGTTCTAACAAGCCACATACCCGGGTCACCTGTGAACTAAAGTACCTGACCCCCTCCCTTTTTGTAAAGTGGTGGAAAATGAAGCCCCCAAAGATCGCTGAAGCTCACAGGCCAGCCTTGGACTAGAATCACAGGGCCGGTCCTACTCCCCACAGCCACAATAGTCAGGATAGCGCCAAGCCGAGATGACGAGACTACATAAAAACTTCCAAAGTAGTGCTTAGGCCTAAAGCACAGCTCGTTTTTCAAAGAAAAGAGCGTACAAAAAAAAAAAAAAAAAAACCACCCAAATGGAAAGCTACTTGGCTATCAAGTCGGGCCCTGGGGCTTCACTTTCTCCCCTGGCAACGGTACCTGCCTCTCAGTGCAGATGGGGACCCACAGGACCGCCTCCCGGTTCCGAGGCCCGACACCCAAGTGCCCAACTCTTTGTGGAGTACGTGGTTGGCCCTAAGAAGGGCCTTTGGAGGTGGAGCTGGAGCGCAGGCGGCGGGTCACCCTCCGAAGCCGTACAGGGTGCGGCCCTGGCGCTTGAGCGCGTAGACCACGTCCATGGCGGTGACCGTCTTGCGCTTGGCGTGCTCCGTGTAGGTGACGGCGTCGCGGATCACGTTCTCCAGGAACACCTTGAGCACGCCGCGGGTCTCCTCGTAGATGAGCCCGGAGATGCGCTTGACGCCGCCACGGCGGGCCAGGCGGCGGATGGCGGGCTTGGTGATGCCCTGGATGTTGTCGCGCAGGACCTTGCGGTGGCGCTTGGCGCCGCCCTTGCCCAGGCCCTTGCCGCCCTTCCCTCTCCCAGACATGGCTGCTGCGCTCCGAGGACTGTCCTTGGGGGCCGCGGCCTGCGCTGTTATAGGAGAGCTGCGGACCAGATTGAAAACCGAAAGCGCGCCGGCGGGAAGATTCTAATGGTCCCGCCCTGCGGAGAGCTCGCGCTCTTTTGTTGTTCTTGCGTCCTCCGCCCCCTACAGGACCCTCCACGTTGGGGGGTTTATTTGTTGTTGTTTGTTGAAGTCGACATTCCGTGGCTCCCGGGAAAGGTCGGATCCCAGCACCAAGCTTCCGGATTCCGCAGTCTTTACGCTTCCTTTTTCTGTCTGGATTCTGGAAGGCCATAAGTTGGGTTTAAGTGAAAAAGCTCTGGTGGGAGAAGACTGGAGCAAGAGCCAATGGGTTTCAGAGCTGAGAAGGGAAAAAAGAGCAGCGCCGGATTCCGTTTTAACCATAGTCCCAAACCCTCTGGCCACACAAAACTGCAGCCAGGACGGTTCCAGAAACTTGGTGGACAGACTCCAGGGCAGCCGCCTTGGGGATATGTGTGGAGGACGAGCGGAGGGAGAAGGTCGCTGCGATTTTTCAGTCTGTGCACTATTTTGTTGCTGGAGGCACAATATTTCAATCCAACCAGGAATCAGGTCCTAGGAAAACTGGTCTTAGGATACTGCCAAGCCTTCTCTTGGGGGCTGGTGAACCCCAACGCACTGTCGTCCACAGCTCTGCAGAGCATAGGAAAAGTAGAGCAGACTGAGAGGTAGTCTCCACACCCACATCTACTTACAGATCCTCTGAAATCAACCCTTATTTTCAGCCAGTTTAGCATCCAAACTGTCCAGGTTGAGACACCCACCCTCTCACTCCGGGAGCTACCAAAGTTTGCTGAATTCGGTTTTGCAAGGAGACTTGTGCTTTACCAGAAACTGCCCTAAAAAATTGATTGGAGATCTTAGTGCATTACCATGGCCCTCTGTAGGAGAATCCATGAGAAAATATTTTGGTTTCTGCACCATAAAGATCTTTTTTTCCAGAAAAATGTTTATGATTAACTTTTCTTATTAAAAGTCAGATGCTTTGTTTCCATCTCTTGGTTCTAACTACTTTCTATATTCTGATAAATCTTAAGAGTTGTTTTTTTGTTTTTTTTTTTTAAACCAGACTTCTAGGCTCCAGACATACAGATTCAGTCATTTTAAGCCCAAAGCTGAAAATCTCCAAGAATCAGCATGTTTCAATTCAAAACCTTAGGGGTTGAAGGGACTTATCCTCCTAATAATGGTGGTTCTTTTGTCCACTGAATGGATGTATCACTACATCCTTATGCCTATGTGCCTAATCAACACCCTAGTATTCACAATAGATCCCTTCTCCCTTGACTGCTTCTAGGCAGAGAAACTTGCTCTTTTCTGACCTGTTGGCAACTCCTACAGAACATCATATTATTTTACATCTCTTTTTATCTTTCATACTTCCCTCTTGACTTTGTGTTCCTTCCTGGAAGTGATTTTCGTTTTCTCTTTGTAAACTGACATGTAGTTCAATACTCATTTAAAGAATGAACAGTTCCTACATTTAATGACTTTTAAATACTAGTAAGAAAGACATTACCAAATTACAACATCATAAACATAAGCCATGGCTCACAGAAATGATAATTTTGGAGTCAAAAGGGAAAAGGATCCTAGTCAAAATAAGAGATATGTGTATATTCCCTTTTGTAGGGGATAAGGATATGCTACTATAACGGTTCACTTGATGCTTTGACTATATCCCTTGTGGCTTTGAAACTTACATTTTTTTTTTTCTTTTTACCAACCTCTTCTCCCTCATCATCTTTTCCCTGATCTTCTTCCAGATCTCTCCTCCCTAATCTCAATTTCTCTGAATCACCTCTATAAAAGCCCCTTGTTCCTGATGATGAGCAGAATCACAGCCTTTGGGACAGGAGTCCGATGTGTTTCTCCTTTGCTAGCCAAGCAATAAACCTTTTTCCTTTTTCTTAAAATTGTGTCCTTGTTAATGGATTGGCATAGGGGACAAAGATTGAGCTTTCGGCAACATGTACCCCCAAATTGCCACTTTGGCACAAGAATAATTTTGAGCTGAAGGCATTTTGAGTTCCTGAAATCCCTTATCTGTTTAAAAACAGAGCCTCCTGGGGTTGGGGTTACGCCTCATACGAGCAAGGCCCTGGGTTCGATCTTTGGCACCACATAAAAATAAATAAGACACTGAGTTTTCTTTAACTCAGTTGTTGTAAGTTTTTCCCATGGAGGAACTCTGATTTTCCAGAGATGAGGAGTTGGTGCCACACCCAAACAGGCATTGTCACAGGAATACAATGTGGTGTCCTTTACTCTCCTAAATGCTATTTATCTTTCTAAAAAGTCATTTGCTTTTCCCTAAGTGTCCTTTCTCTCCTCTCCCTTTCAACTATTAAGTACACAAACCCCAAATTCTAACCACCCTTTTGAGTTACCCATCTTGGGGTACTGCCTTGTGTAGGTTCAATAATTCAAAACATTTGTCTTTCTTTTATTGATCTCTTTTGTTATGCAGTCAGTTCCAACTAAGAACCTATGGGGAGTTGGAGAAAAATATTATTCTTCCCCCACAATTTTAATAAAAAATATAGTACTCAAAATATATGGTTCTTAACCTCTCTCCAATATAGCTTAGGATGGCTGGTGGAATGAAATTTATATAGCTTTGAAATATTGTGTGAAAACATTTCTTGATTCTAAAAAAAATTTACTTGATTTTACTATATTCCAGTAGGATATGTTATGTAATAATAAATATAAATATAAATTCTAAGCTGTTCAATATGATCAGTAAATGTTAAGGACCAGTAGAATGGAGAATGTTGGTGAATTTTTATCTAATGGCAGTACATTGAAGGAGTGAGTTTATTTCAGAATGGAATAAAGAAAGAAGCTTAAAATCCTATGGTTTCGCAGTTTGGTCCAGGGCTGAAGATCAGTCAAGATGAAAGCAAATCAGGCATGAGGACTGACCAACCCACAAACCCAAGATTCAAATGGTCTTGGAATGCTTATAACCCTGGAGGTACATGAAGACCAACACCAAACAAACTGTCTTCTCTTACCATCTATGTAACTTAGTCCTTTACATTTGTATTAAAAATAAATAGGTATGTTCAAAACATTGCATTCCTAATAATAACAATTATTATTTTCACTTGCTTATTTCCTGTATAGAAAGTTTGGGGTTGTGGCTCAGTGGTAGAACGCTTGCCTAGCACGCATGAGCCACTGGGTCCGATTCTCAGCCCTACATATAAATAAGTAAATAAAATAAAGGTCCATCAACAACTAATAAAAATTAAAAAAAAAAAAGAAAAGTTTAAGCTTCYCATGTCTCCTTCTCACCTCCCAATACAACCCATGCTAAGTAACAATATAACTCAAGTTCTTAGCCTTCAAACTACAGGCCTTTAGAACTTCTGATGAAAGTTGGGCATGGTGGCATATACCTGTAATTCCTAGTGACTGGGAACACAGAGGGAGGACTATTGCAAGTTCAAGGCCAGACTGGGCCTAGACCTTGTCCCTAAAAAAAAAAAAGGCTGGGGATGTAGATCAGTGGTAGAGTGTCCCTGGATATAATCCCCAATAATGGATATCTGATGAAAGAAACTTCAGAAATTTCAGAAAGAGAAATATCCTCTCTCTCCCACAGCTGAAGAAAAGCAGAGGTTCATCTTCATCATACACCTCTACTGATAAAAACAGAACTTTCATAGGAATATCACTCTAGTGTCCAATATGGGGAGTAGGTGAAATTGAACTGACATGTATCTGAATTCTGCATTGAAGGTGATTTCTAAGGTAACAATTACATCAGAGATAATTGTATTCCAAAAAATGTTAACTATGGCTTTTGCAAATTCATGATTCTGATTCTGATTGTTTTGTTTAATTTGTTGCCTTAGAATTTATAAAGTGATTTTTTTTGAGAAGTCGAAGTAGAAATTCTTATAAGTTTGCTTTTTTAAAAAGTTAAACCAGAGGAAGACTTGAAATTTTCTTATTCTCTACGTTATAAAAACCAGGCACAGTGGTGCATGCCTGTTATCCCAGCAGTTCAGGGGGCTGAGACAGGAAGATTGCAAGTTCAAAGCCAGCCTCAGCAAAGGTGAAGTGCTACACAACTCACTGAGACCCTGTCTCTAAATAAAATACAACATAGGGCTAGGGATGTGGCTCAGTGGTTGAGTGCCCCTGAGTTTAATCCCCAGTAACCAGCACCCCCCCCTCCAAAAAAAAAGTGAAATAAATTCCATGACTTGGATTCTGTATTTCAAAATAGTTCCCTCTTATCCTCATGCAATCAAACCATACATTGTTTCTTAAAGGTCTCGAACTCTGTTATTTCACAGAGTTGGGTTAAGTAATACAGTTTACAAAGACGGACTTTTAAACACAGAGTAGTGCTCAGTATATGAAAGTCATTACAAAATCACCACAGGAATAACATTTATCCACGTGAGTCACACTTTTGTATGTTTTGTATTTTAGATCTCCCTAAGAGGTTGCTACCTATGAAGGGTTTTTGAAGAGATTAAGCTAACAAGTTTTTACATTGTGTGAAATGTTCACTTAAAATCACTTCCATTTGACTTTGATATCATTAAGGAGAAGATAATTCATACTGACACCATTAAGGTAAGTTTTAAGCCTCTTGGGCCTGCTTTTGTTATTAGGTTTGAGCTCTTGTAAGGTTTATATGTAATGATTTTTCAATAAAACAAGCGATTAAAAGTATTATCTAAAAACAACTTTTACCTTATCCATAGAGATCTTTATGCATTGTTTTATGACACGCACTTTCCAGGAACAATTTAAGGCCTATGAAATGACTAAAGGGCAAAGAATCTTCACTGTCCTTGTAGAAAATACAGAAAATATTAAACTTTTAAGGATTAGGAAACATTTTATCTTTATTGAAGAAAATAGCCACTCAGTGGTCAATGAATAATTCATGTGCTTTGAAACTTCATTTAATTTGTCATCTGGCTGATAAGCACTTGACTATTGGAAACTATTGGAAAGGAGAAACTCCTGTCTGGTCTCATCCATCTTTGACCAATTCGCGGTTCATCTGCAGGACCTAATCGGCCTTTGATGTGGAGGCGAGGAGACAGAATCCCCAGGAGGTAAAAAATAAAGGAAGGCGGAAGTTTTAACAGAACATTGGTCAGCATACTGAAGATAAAACAGGGCTTTGGCCGAGTTTAAGTCAGGTAAATATAATTTTTCATTCTTTCCACTACATAGTGTTTTGTTAAGCTTGCATCACGATACAATGCATCTAAACTGCGGAGCACAGTAACAAACGCTAAATAAATGTTATGGAAGGAGAGTTCCTGTCACAGGTACCTTGAAACTAGCTGAAACCTGTTAAAATATACAGTGAGTAAATGCTTTATAAATTATTGTTACAAAGTTACATCGACTGAAAGGAAAGGTTTTTACAGAGATATTCGTGGTCCATAAATTGTAGAGAAAGGGGGAAGGAATGAGGGAATAGTCTCAGTAAGCGGGATCGAATTCTAGCCAATGAGACCACAAGTCTAGAGATTCCTCTCCTCCTGCCCAATCAAGGCGCGGCTTCGTCTATAAGTAGGACCGCCTTCGCTCGCTCCTCGCTCCTCCCAACCCCGCGAAGCATGGCCCGAACCAAGCAGACCGCGCGCAAGTCGACCGGCGGCAAGGCCCCGCGCAAGCAGCTGGCCACCAAGGCGGCCCGCAAGAGCGCGCCGGCCACCGGCGGCGTCAAGAAGCCCCACCGCTACCGGCCCGGCACCGTGGCGCTGCGCGAGATCCGGCGCTACCAGAAGTCCACCGAGCTGCTGATCCGCAAGCTGCCGTTCCAGCGGCTGGTGCGCGAGATCGCGCAGGACTTCAAGACCGACCTGCGCTTCCAGAGCTCGGCCGTCATGGCGCTGCAGGAGGCCAGCGAGGCCTACCTGGTGGGGCTGTTCGAGGACACCAACCTGTGCGCCATCCACGCCAAGCGCGTCACCATCATGCCCAAGGACATCCAGCTGGCCCGCCGCATCCGCGGGGAGCGGGCTTAAGAAGTCAGGCGCTCGCCCGGCTCGAGGTTCCATCGCATCCAAAGGCTCTTTTCAGAGCCACCTACCTCTCAGTAAGAGCAGCTGCACCCGCTTTGCGCAGTCTGCGCTGTCTGAACACTCAACTCAGGGACGCCCCAGAGGGGCATGGAGGAATCCCGACACTCTAATCTGGTCGCTTAGCTACAGGCGAGTTGGTCTTGTTCCCGGCCAGGTCTCCCGTGTGCTGGCCTAGCTTTCCCTATTCCGTGAGGGAACGTCTTCGGCGCTGAGCCCTGTGTTAGTATTGAGGTCCAGGCCGGGAAAATACCCTTTAAGATTCAAGATTCGTCTTGCATTTAGAAATTACATGAAACTAGTTTGTAACGTGATTCATGGTTACACAATATAACTCGAAAAGCAGTTAAAAACGGAAGTGGGTCCCTGCCGGTTTTCAAAAAAGAGTTGAGGATCGTTAAAGAAAAACCAAGTATATAAAGAAAAACTGCAGAATTAAGGGGCTGCAGCTGGGGTTGTGGCTCAGTGGTACAGCACGTGCCTCGCTTTAGGAGGCACCGGGTTCGATCCTTAGAACACACAGAAAGATACTGTGTCCATCTACAACTAAAAAAAGTAAGGGGCAGTTAACTTTACCTAGTGCTTTAAAAATTCCTTCTAGAAATCCACGGTTTAGTGGGGGGGGGGGGACAAACAAGTGGAACCACGGCTGTACGTAATTTACTGGTTAATTTGAAGTGGAGTATTCTGATTGGCTAATAAGACTTCTGTTCTAATGACCACTAAGGAAGCGCAACCGGAATCTATTATTTACATGGACTCCGCCCCTCTATGACGACACTGTTGTAAATTAACCAATAAAAAACGCAGTGTCGTGGGAGTCTTCATTTGCATACGGGCTCTATAAGTAGCGCGTAACCAGCTGGTTCTGCTGCAGTCGGCGATTATCTCTTCCCGAGTTCGTCTGTTCTCCGCGACGAAAAAAATGCCGGACCCAGCGAAATCTGCCCCCGCTCCCAAGAAGGGGTCCAAGAAGGCGGTCACGAAAGTGCAGAAGAAGGACGGCAAGAAGCGCAAGCGCAGCCGCAAGGAGAGCTACTCCGTCTACGTGTACAAGGTGCTGAAGCAGGTGCACCCCGACACGGGCATCTCGTCCAAGGCCATGGGCATCATGAACTCGTTCGTCAACGACATCTTCGAGCGCATCGCCGGCGAAGCGTCCCGCCTGGCGCACTACAACAAGCGCTCGACCATCACGTCGCGGGAGATCCAGACGGCCGTGCGCCTGCTGCTGCCCGGGGAGCTGGCCAAGCACGCCGTGTCCGAGGGCACCAAGGCGGTCACCAAGTACACCAGCTCCAAGTAAGGGTACACAAGGAATGCGACACAACAACTGCTTTACCCCAAAGGCTCTTTTCAGAGCCACTTCAGTCATCAGAAAAGGGCTGTAAGCACAATGGGCCCATCAGCCTTTGTTAGGTATGATGTGACCGTGGTCACGAGTGCATTTGTGGTTAGGATCAGGAAGTCCCTACCGAGTCCTTGATGGAACCTTTGGCTTAATAAAGGATCCTTGAGAGGCGGAGGAATGGGCAAGTGTCTCTTCTGTCTTCAGATACGTGTTAATACGCGTTTGGGGGCTTCTTTAGCTCGGCGACTGATCCCTAGCATTTTTAAGTAATGATCGAGTTGGGTTTCATCTTTAATGTACAGGTGAGAAGTTGTCAGTTCTTCAACTCCCTACTCAACTTATTGGCAATATCAGAAGATAAGCTTATTTCATGATGTGAGAAGGGTGCTACTGGCATTTAATGGGAAGCAGCCAGCACTGATGCCGTGCGTAATGCACAGGACAGCCCCCACAACAAAGCATTACCTGATTCATAATGCTGATTCCTGTGCAGAGACTGAGACCCACTGGCCCAAATACCTGTCGTGCTATCCCTGGACCCACACCTATGTTATTGCTCTTTACTTGAAAGGTGAACATTCCATAGGCTTACTGTTTCCAGGTCATTTTTCACAGGAAAACTTTCAGGGCAAGAACCCTGTTCTGGTTTCTGTTAAACAGAACAGAACAAAACAAAAACTTATGATTGTAAGAACTGTGGAATTGCTTTCTGAAATTGCTTGCCTCTGGTGAAGTTTGCTGCTTTCAGTCAGGTTGGATGTGGGGAGGTGGTTTTCAGTGTTCCCAGGTGTGTGTATTTTAATAAGTTTTGGATGTATCTACTTGGCCCACATGTTGGCATCAAATGTTAAAATCAGGCTGTGGGTGTGTGTTTGTGTTTTGTTTCTGTTGTTTTGCACAGTACTGGGGATCAAAACCAGCGTTTCTGTCTGGGCAAGTAGTCTACCACTAAGGAACATTCCCCAGTCCACTAGTATTTTGAGAATGAGTGGAGAAGGGATTTATGGTACACAGAAGGCCATGGTTAATATGTAGAATGAATCTCTGAAGACTAAAAACTTGTATAATTCAAAACATCCTGAAAAAAGCTAGTGGATTTCTTTTTTCCTTACCAAATAAATAAAATAGGAAAACTTAGTTTACAATTTACTGAAACAGGCTTTGATATTAAGCCATTCTTGGTAAGTCCTTCTCAGGACAACTCTGTACTTACTGTGAATTTTGTAATTTTATAATTTAGTTCAAACTTACATCTAATTAAAAGTGGTAGAGTGCTTGCCTAGCATGCATGAGGCACTGAGTTCCGATCCTCAGCACCACATAAAAATAAATAAATGTATTGTGCCCGCCTACAACTAAAAATATACATATATTTAATTTTTTTAAATAAAATAAAGGTGTTGTGTTCATCTACAACTAAAAAAAATTTTTTTAAGTTGCATAAAGTGTGCCACATGACTTCTTTCACTGCAAATTTTAGATTCTCATTTGAGAATTCCCTGTCCTTTTTCTGATGACTTCCAGACAAGAGGCCAGGGAAAGATGACTCAACTGAGATCTCATCAGAACCAATGAAGATTAAATTATATTAGCCTCTGTAATGGTGAGAGTAGTCAGTGATGCTGAGCCTGAGGTAATTTAACTAATTACAGGAACTTAGTGGTAAATTCACCAATCACTGGGGCTTCTTAATTTATTTGGGTCTCGTAGTTTTCTGTGAAATGCAGAGATTATAATTATTGATCTTAAGCTTCCTTCTAATATAATCCACTTGGCATAGTGGCTGGAACATGGTAAATGTTTCATCAGTGTTGCTCTCAGGATGAACATCTATCTCAGATAAGGAAACCACCTTGTTAACTCTTTTCCCTGCTACATTATGAAAAATTGAACCATTTTGTTTCTCTAAGCTTTCAAGTTGATAGCTTTTTTCTGAGTCTTTTTAAGTTTTGAAATCTGATTTTCATATTAGGTATTAGATAAAAATCATTCTTAAGTGACCTTCTTCCCACCACTCTGCTGAAACAGCAAGTATGTGTAGAGAAGAATACAATTTTAGCAGGAGAGTTAACCAAGGTAAAACTTTAATTCCAATCTTCAGCCTAGAGGAAAAAAAAAGGTAAGAAAAAAATTTTCATTTGTCTAAGGAACGTTTATGAATGTGGGGATGTGTTTTGGAGGGAAGGAGGCATAATTTGAGAAATCATTCTGGATTAATATATGCAAATCTTTTTTGGAGTAGAGTTTTAAAGATTTTAAAAGCAAAGGAAATAAATAAACAAAAACTATGAATATTTTTCCTGACATAAGAAAATAATATATGAATTATAAGCATTGACTGAGTCATTTAGATTGAGCTGATAGATGGAAATATAGACTTTACAACATAGAGACATCAAAGTAAATATATTTGAAGACTCTTCCTAGCAATATGGAAGGATGATGTATTCCTAAAAATTTGGGCATGATGTTTAATGTTTACATGTATAATGTTTAGTAAAAAGTTCAGGTTCTTGAGAAACTAGCTGGTATACAGCCTGGCTCTTTTCTCTCAGTTGTATGACAGAGCATGTTTCTTAGTCTGTGTTTCCTCAACTTAAAATTGGGAGCAATAGTAGTGCTTACTGCACAATGTTTGGGGAAGGATAAATGAGTAATTATATATAACAATGATAGTATTTGACAGTTAATAAGCATTTCAGTAGTGGTAGTTGAGATTGACAGTAAGGAAGTTTTACTGAACTCTATGCAAGTTTCTCATCTCTAACACACAAGTGAATATGACTACTAATTCAAGAAAATGCACCGGAGATGTCACATTCTTCCCATCTGTTATGGTTTGGACATGAGGAGTCCCCCAGAAAGCTCCCATGTTAATACAGGAATATTCAGAGGTGAAATGGTTAGACTGTGAGAGCTGTGACCTAATCAGTCCATCCTACCGACTGGGTGGACTATAGGCAGGATGGGTCCTGGCTGGAGGAGGTAGGTCACTGGGAGCATGCCTTGGAACGGTTGCTCTTCCCTCTGGCCCCTTTCCCTTGCTCTCTCTGCTTCCTTACATGAGGTAGACAGCACTCCACCACTCCTTTCTGCCGTGATGTTCTGCCTCACTGTGGGTCCAGAGAAATTGGCTTGGTTGACGATGGACTAACCCTCTGAAACCATTAGCCAAAATAAATGTTTGCTCCTCTAAGTTGTTCTTGTCAGGAATTTTGGTTACAGTGATGAAAAGATGACTAATACACCATTTTTAACATACCATCTTTCACTCCATTTATGTCATAAATGATGGCAGATGGTATTCAAGTGAAGAGTACTGCAGAAGATATGAGTGGACCAAGGAATGATCCACACTATTTGGAACAAACATACCAGGAACAAGAGTTGGTCTTGGGACAACTGATAGGACGACATGTCTATTCCCTCCTATCCTGGGGATTATAATAAGCCACAGAAGTGTTTGGCTCCATCAGTGAGTGTGGTCAAACTTGGTTCAGAGAGACAGAAGAATGCATCAGGTTACTGGGAGTTATCATCACGAAGAGACTTGCTTTTGGAAACTTACAATATTATGTGCCATCCTTTACACACATGTACATTTCAGCACAAGAATCCCCCCATACAAAGATGTGCACATAACCAAGAGTCACCATAAATTTTAAGAGAAATATCCTCTCACCCTCAGTTGAAGAAAACCAGAAGTTTTTTTCGCATCATAAACCTGCCTCTAATAAAAGAGTAGATTGAGAACTTTGAAGGAATATAGCTCTACTGTCCAATATAGAGTCTAAATAAAATTGAGCTGACATGGATCTGAATTATGTTATTAAATCAGAGACATTAAAGTGTAAAACTCAGTTAACACGAGAGAGCTCAAAATAAGTGTATTTAATACCCTCAGATATAGGAGAAGATAAAAATAAGAAAAATCAACTAAAGACCTTAGAAATCTAAAATTTGGTTATTTAAAAAAAAAAAAACTTAGAGCCAAATCCATAATTGAACTCCATATCTACACTCCTCCATAGATGAGGAAAAAAATTAAAGATCAAGTCAGAAATTGTACCCTCATAAAAAGTTACAAAGATGAAAAATATAAAGGAAAAGTTAATTGATATGAAAAAATAATTCCAGATACCCCCAAATTCATCCATCAGAATAATAAATTTCATAAGTAAGGAACTGAGAAGACTTAAGAAATAAAATACAGATATACTAAGTAAGATTTGGTGATTGTAGACGGCACAACTTCAGAATACCAATTAAATTATAATCTTTGCCAATGGTGTCCCCTACCATTTCCTTGACAACCAAAGTCAAGGAAATAAGGGAAGAAAAGGAGGATATTTTACAGGATCTAAATTCATAGACATACATCTTCCTCATTAAATTCTGAGGACACAAGTATAAAATGAAAATGAACCTTACTTAGATACATGGTAATAAAATTTCAGAACAAAAAATTAAAAGAGAAAGGTCTAAAGACATCAGGTATATTTGGGCAGTCCTGGATATAAGACAATGAAGCATTACCTTTTTAAAAAAAGGGGGGGGGAGAATTTTGAAACAACTTTTATATCTAGTCAACTAATGTTTTGGTATGAGAGACTTTTCAGACCATCTTTGAGAGAATTACTAGAATTGTTGTCTGATAAGTTTTTTGTTTGTTTGTTTGCATCATGGGGGATTCAACTCAGGATCTTATTCATGTGAAGCAAGCACTCTACCACTGAGCCACATCTCTACCCCTCCAGTGAGAATATTTAAAAGATTCCAAGAAATGATGTACACTAGAATCAAAGGTGACCATGTACCTTACAAAACATATTGCTATTAGATTCCTTAAGAAATTAAGAAAACCTGGTATTTAAATTCCAGATGACATTAACATGGGTGGGAAGTGCGGGGGAAAACAAGAGTGAAAAGAAAAAAAGCAAGCAAAGTAAGAAGGATAGAAACATTATTACTATGGAAGTTAAAAAAATGTAGATTATATAGATCTACATATATATGGCAATAAAAGAAAGTTATTTCATAATCATAAAAATTGTAATCCATTAAGGATTACATGATCATGAATTTTTTGCTTTTTTAAAAAATTTTTCAACCTTTTTTTAAAAATTTTTCAAGCTTTTTTTAAAAATTTTTTTCAACCTTTTTAATGGGCATAGTACTTTATTTTATTTATTTATTTTTATGTGGTACTGAGGATAGAACCCAGTGCTTCATATGTGTGAGGCAAGTGCTCTGCCACTGAGCCACAACCCCAGCCTGAATTGTTTGCTTTTTAGCACGTGCACACACACACATCTACTCACACAATGTGCATACAAGGACTTTATTATTCTATTTGGAGATAGGGTCTAGCTAAGTTGCTCAGGGTCTTGCTAATTTTCCAAGGCTTACCTCAAATTTGTACTCCTGCCTGAGTCTCCAGAGTAGAAGGGATTACAGGTGTGCACTACTATCCTGGCTACAAGGATTTTTGTTTTTCGTGTGTGTGTGTGTGTGTGTGTGTGTGTGTGTGTGTGTGTGTTTTGGTACTGGGGATTGAACCTCAGGAGCACTCCACTGCTGAGCCACATCCCCAGCCCTATTTTGTATTTTATTTTAGAGACAGGGTTTCACTAAGTTGCTCAGTGTCTTGCTTTTGCTGAGGCTGGCTTTGAACACAAGATCCTCTTGCTTCAGCCTCCAGAACTGAGCCTCTGGGATTACAAGCGTGCACCACCATGCCTGGCCTACAAGGATTTTTTAGGTCAACAATCACAGTAATTAATTTTAATACAGTCCTCAGGAATTGACAGATAAACACGGTCAATGAGATTAACCATAATTATACATACTATGTAATTTTGTTTTAAAAATGGGAAAGTTACATTATTTTCAATTTCCAGGGTATAAAAACAAAAATTAACCATGAGCAAGAGGGCAAATTAAATCTCAACGCATTTTGAAAATCTGAAACCATACCAGGTATATATTCACTGATTATAAAGCAATAAAACAACTAAGTATATTCTCCTGAATCTATACTCTTAAAAGAAAGCATATAGGTTAAGAGGATTTCAAAAAATAGATACTTTTTATAAGTAACAATCTATATGATCAGAAGAAATTCATAGTTTTGGAATGCATCTAAGAGAAAATAAGAACTATTTTAAGTGGATTAAAGGCTGAGGCCAGAGGATTGAAGGTTCAAAGCCAGCCTCAGCAATTTAGCCTTGCCCTAAGCAACATAGCAAGACCTTGTCTCAAAATAAAAAGGGGACCAGGGATGTGCCTTAGTGGTTAATGCCCCTGG